AAATTTCACTTTTTACTATTAGAATGACACCTAAAAATTATCCGCGGATTCCATAAGCGAAATCCGCAAATAATGATTGACACATTACCCTAACTATATATTTTGTATTATAGCATTGCACACCCTAATTCTACGCGGCTCGATACAATCAGGTCCGAGAAAACATCAAAAAATATAAAATACGCAACGGGGTTAATGCCCACCGTACGATTAAAATCTTGTACTGTACGGTATGGTACGGTAATATATTTTATACGTAATAAAAATTGTGTACTGTATGGTATACAATAGATGATGCATTCATATGATATTCCAACCTTACAATTCCCGGAAAATTTTGATAGGACTTTCTTGATTTATTTGTCTAGGATAAAATAGTTAAATATATTTAAAAAATAAACTTGATTATTTAATAATAATGAACAGATCTGTAAAATTATACAAATGATATCGAATCATAGAATATATAAATAAATTTAAAATTTTACAGTTCGTTATACTGCATATCAGGGCTCATTATAAAAAGTTCGTTATAGAAAGCTTCGGTAGATGGATTTATAAATAAACATACAAATAATTCAAATGAAGCAATAAAAGATTGCAGAATTCTAAAATACATTCACAATTAAATAAAGGGAAGAGCTAATCTCTCGGCATAATAAAGAGTTATGGTTCTTAAGAAAAAAAATAATAATTATTATATATAACGAACTTTTTTTTATGCCCAGAACTAGTGGTTCGTTATTGAGAGCGTTGATTGTTTATAGTAATCATTCAATATATGCTCTAATAAAGATTTTTTTCTCAATTGGAGGACTTCGCTATAACGAGTTGTAATCATGTTTTCGTGTTTTCATTTTACTTGTATTATCAACATAGAGACCAGCTTTTATTTTTTTGTCAAATTATAAATAGCATATAAACGAATGGAAAAGAAAAAGAATCGTATAATCTACCTTACATAGACTACGTCAGAATAAAATAAGAGATCAAAGCTCATGTGATTGCACCCTCGATTGCACATATTACATTTATTACCGTACAGATCATACAGTACTGACCAAACCACCGTACCATACTGAATATATGTATACTCGCGACCGTATCATCATTCTGGGAAAATCTTCCCAGTTTCGAATTGAGAAGTCGCGAGGGCTCGCTGTTGAATCACAACCGATTCCTCTACGAGTGCCTGGTCGAGAACGGCCTGTACAAAGAGGGGATTTTTGAAGAGATCGCGTACAAACACCACGGAAGCATACAAAATCTAGAAGGCATCCCTGATTGTGTCAAGCAGATCTTCCCGACCATGTAAGAGCTTGAATTCTACAAATATGTGTCCTCAAGACTGTACTGTACACCCTTCATCGATCATTCGCAGAGCATGAGCTGGTTCATATCCAAAGAAAAAATCAAGTCGATGAGCAGAGACCAATTGTATCAATTCTTCCACAGCGTGATCATTGAACAATTAGGTAACAATTGTAAAACTATTATGTATTATCTGGTGATCGAGCTGGACGATGATTACCAGGTAAGGAGAAAGTTCACAGACATCGATAGCGATGAAAATAATTACAAGAACAAACCGAAATCATTACCGCATAAAAAAGTGAAAATTACATTACCGAATATTATCAAGAGAGGGTTAGAAGAACCCGGCAACACCGGTGTTGTTAAGGAGGATGCCGAGCGGATTACTCATCTGGAAAAAATAATAACCTCCACGGAAGACATTGAAGATTCGTACAGGGCGATGGTTGTGTGGAAATTTGGTAAAGGATTGTAACGATAATAAAATGAAATTAAATCATAAGTCTGAATACTGCTGTACTGGAATATCTTATTCTAAATGCGTCGATAATCAACATTCTTTACCCACCAACTAAAATATTAAATATTCATAAGCTTGAATAGCTTAATTTTTAAATGCTTTGGTTATTAATAAAATGTTCTTTATTCTCACAATCTAAAACGAAATCATAAATATATAGTAAATATTCATGAAGTTGAATAGTTCATTTTAAATACTTAATTAATAATTATTCTTTATACACGTGTGCTTTAACGCGAATAAAATAAAATAATTCATTTTAAATATTCGGATTAACAAATATTCTTTGTAAAATGAAATTAATGTATATAAAAATATTCTTATGGATTTAACTAAATATATTTAACTATAAATATCATCCACTTTAAAGTATTTTTTTATTTAAATATTTTATATGAGTTAAATGAAATTAAATATAGTGTGTAATAGTGAAGTTGACAAATAATAATGTTCTTTATATGAAATATATTAATTGAGAAAGATTAGATAATGGTAAATATCTATATTTACTGAACATGTCAATTGATAAAGGATATTTTACTCATCGGCCAAAATTTGCCTTACAATTAACAAATACCAAATGAAAAATCTATTTTGTACATTATCAGTTACAACACAAGAACAAAAAACGTTGGATATTAATGGAATGCTAAGGTGCAAAGCTTCAATTGGGAATCGACTAAGGAAAGAACTACCAAGAACTTGCATTTCCATTTTAAAATAGAAAGGTAAATAAAATTTTTAGAAGAATTTTAAGGATTTGGGAATTTGGAGGAAAATGCCAGAACAAAGGGTGTGTTGAGCAGGTATATTTCCATGAATTAACAAATTAGATCTAAACATTAATACCTGCTCCACCAGTCCAATCACCTACAGAAGCAACTACACATAATTCATCATCAATGGTGGACGATGTGGTTGCATTATAGTTGATTTTATTAGCGACATAGAAAATAATAGACCGGTCAATCGATGGAGTTGATCAAGTAGAGGTGAGGCGAATATATTAATCATGAAATTTGAATGTGAATTTGGAGTTAGCATCAAGATTGAGGATAATGATAAAATCTCATGTACATTAGACTCCACAAATAAGCCTTTGGTTTTTGCAAGCTCCAATGACCGAAATTGTAAAAGGCCAGGATATGAGGAGGTTCTCGGCCGATTTGACTGAACGTATTGCGGCTTGTTTTGTGTTCTTTTGAAAGCTGTCATTTTTAGGTTTAACGGTTTCCAAACTTCTTAATTGATTGACTGTGTATTTCATTGGTGTGCAATATTAAATATATAGTGAGTATTTTTAATAAAAAAGCATGGCCAGGTTCTTATGTCAGAGTGTATCCTATTCACCGTTGCACACTTTCTAATATAGAAAGCTAACGCAAAAAGGAATAGTGTTTTGCTTCAGGAACATCGGTAACTGATATAGGAAAACGTTCAACTATTAAAATAGTTGATCGCGACAAGCTTTCAATTCTCTATCAGATTTCGTTGCACCGATAATTTCAGATACACTATAACTCGACAAACAAATAATTAAACTTACTTATATGTACGCACTTCCAGGATATCCCATTCGAG